AATTTAATCATTTATAATTGACTTTTCCTATGTTGTGTTTTAAGGACGTGTAACTCAGGTGTGAAAAATGACCAACTTAGTACCGATTTATGAGTTATCGTTTATAGGAATGACATAAAGGCTGCTTCAGCATTGGTATTGTTATGTACACAAAAGGGTCTCTTACATTGTTTTGTACACAAAAGTGTTGACCAAGAGAAAGAGAATGCCTTCACTCTACCTGAAATAACAGGGTCAAATGAATGAGGAACAGACTATATTCAATATTTTTAATTCTCTTTGACGATTATTATGAAGAAGAAAATTTCATGTCATGTTTTTGTGTTCGCGCTTTTTCGCTTCCTATATAAATATATATATTTTTACAAGTAAATGCAACAATTGATCATCTTATTTGTGTTACTAAGCACGAAGGGGAACGACAGAGCATAACAATTTAAGTAGGTTAGAACTAAGAAGGAGGGTAGATTTCACTTTATATTTTAATTAAAACTTTTAATTATATGTAGTTAAACGGTGTCCGCAACCATACAGTAAATAAGTTTAACATTGGTGCTAAATTTTAAAACCACTGGATTCTACTGAGAGCAAAGAAACACTTGGGAAATGCTAAAAACTGCCTTGCGTGTAAACAGTTAGATAACCCGAGCCTGCTCTAAACATGTTTCAGCAGTGAGTTATCGTTCATAAAACCGACCCCCTAGCGGCAGTTGAAAGGCCTACTAAATAAAAACTTCAAATTAAATTAACAATTCTTTTAAAAAACCGTGCCACCTTATTGCCACTTTTGCTACAATTAAATTATTTAGAATATTTCTCTTATATAGTTTATTGATAACCATGGATGCATTCTGAAATACACTGAATGCTGAAAAACGTTCAATATTCTATTATGATGGGTGGAAAATGATCAAACTCAATCAGCAGATTAAGAAAAACAATTAAAAAGAAAAAAAATGACTAAACGAAAAGAATGACAAAATGATTACTTTTGAATAATTGTATTCCATAAGTATATAGAAACATGTATATAAAAGTTTTCCCAGATATGTTTATTAGGTATTTAGACATCGGGGGCTTCAAAGTTTTAAGAAAAATCATGACACGTTTTTGCATTACTGGAAACATATACTAGTTACGAGACTATGAGCATGTTCTAAAATGTCTTTTTTCAAATTAAAGACATGTTGCCTTGGTAATTGACACATGCATGGCAACCATTTTTTTAAACCAGATTTGAGTTTGCGGTAAGAAAGATATATATCATAGGGATTTAGGAGAAATTCTTGAATTTTGTCTGTAAAACTGTCGTTTTTTTAAAGAATTTTTTTTTGTTTTTCATGTTCTGTTTTGTTTGTGTATATGGGTGTGTGAGTATGTGTGTGTTTATCTTAGTAAGATAAACTTGTACCATCCAATTTTCATAAACTACATAGAAAATACTTACATGTAATTTTAGATAAATATTTTCAGCATCAATTACACCGATTCGAGAAGTGAGTTTCTCCGTTTACCTCAAGTCTAATAGTCGCAATCTCAAAGCGGGACAGACGGTGGTATTTGATGGGATTGTTACAAATGATGGTAATGGTTACGACGCAAATACGGGGATATTTGTCTGTCCAGTGGCGGGAAATTACATGTTTGTCATGGATTCTTTATCACATTTGGATTCTTGGATCAACATAAAAGTAAATAATGTTACAAAAGCATCAGCGCATCATAGATCTTTCATGACTAACTATGAGCGACCCTGTGTTCAAATAAGCAGAACTGTTATAGTCAAACTTAAACGTGGCGACCAGGTGAATGTTGAAAATGCTAAGAGCAATGGATTTATGCACGGCGAAATGAACTCAGGATTTACAGGAACATTGTTGTATTAGAATCTGGAACACTGCTTGATTAAAGGAATTCTAAATACTATATGACAATGAATTGTTTTGATTAAAATTCTTTGAGTTTTGTGTATTTTTTTCTTTAGAAACAACTAATTTAAACGAATTTAGAATGTCTATAGATTCAAAAATATATATAGAAGAATAAGTAAGTTAATTACAATAAAAAGAATTGTCTACAAACCGATTTCAAGACATTTCTTATTCTGACTTGATACCATATAAGAGGAATACTTGTTTTTAAGGCACTTCAACCTGCCTGTGGAAAGACCTTTTGCAATTACTCTGTTCATTGCTTTTTTTGGTGGTGGTGGTGGTGGGGGGGGGGGGGTATTTTGAGGTACCACGAAAATTAGGATGACATTCGATGCAACATTACTCTGAACTGTAGGGCTGGGCAATAATATCGATATTTCAATATATTGCGATACTATGACAAAAAATATTGTATCGCAATACGATTTTGTAATATCGATATATTGGCAATATGCTTAGATTAAGGAATTTTATCATTAAGTATAGGAATAGACTTATGAAAGTTTGTTATTAAGCCAAACAGTAAGACAGAAGTTTTGTGGGAGCATTTCAGAGCATAACTTATATGAAATCAACAAGATTTTTTTTCCCGTCTTCAGGTTACTTATCACAGTTATGTACATTCTGCATGTAAATTAAGTAAATAAAGGAAGAAAATGCCATTTTAATAACAATGAAAATATTGCAATACATATCGCAATACAATTTAAAATATCGCAATATATCGCAATACGAAATCTTGGGCCAATACCCAGCCCTACTGAACTGTGACCCCTCCCAAAGTTCGCACTCTTTGTATGAAAAACCTTGTTATCACCACTTCTCCGATCAAAACCAACAACCGGACAACCTTCACCAAATTCTTCGACTGATTAAGAGGATAGGGCTTTAATATATTCATTGCAAAAGTATTCATCCGCACCTAATTTTTTTTATTACAATTCTTTTATTTCTTTGTGCTAGAGTTATAAATCACTTTAACCTTCACTTCGCTAGTCGTAAAACACATCTTACTGCAATGTGATCCTTGTCCATTGAACCTCAAACATAAGTTCAAGGTCAAAAGTCAAGGTCATTTAAATTTAGATCAATACTAAATTATGGAGAGGACTTGTACAGGCAAAGTCTGCTGTCCTTTCTATATATATTTCATTATACACGTGTATAATAAAATATGTTCACTGTATAATAAGAATATGTTCAAAACAAATCAAAGATCAATGTTTCTCTAGCGACATGTTAAATATATTTTAGATTGTTTAAAGAAACGATTCATGGCCTGTTAAGGTATTCTATTATTTATGATATTCATAGTGCTGTGAAAATAAGTTAGCCTTTCATTGAAAGAACTTTCTAGTTTTTAACCTTATACACTGTAAACCATTTCTGGTTTCTTTTTTCCATGTAAATTGTTCATTAATAGTTAATGCCAAAAATATAAAATTATACAGCTGTAATACGTGGGAAACCTCTTGTTCATCGAGAATATTTTTCTACTAATATTTGTACTTTACATTTTGTTAAAATGCTGACAATTTGCTACATGTGTCCATATCAAATCTTGAACGAGTTATCCCGCTTTCAATATTCAACAGCTCAAAACAAACATTTTGCGCTGCCATACAATGTTTGATTCTATGTCTGGGACTGGGAATATCCTTTCAAAGCAAGAAATGTTGAAAAACACTACCCTCAAATGCACTATTCTAGCAATTATAACAATAGATCGTTACTAGGCTTATCAACGCGTACATGAGCCACTTTCAGAAAATCTTAGGACTGCAACAACTAACATTCTTCAGTATTTCTTAGCACATCTTGAATATATCTTTTATTGACTATGCGCGAAGGATTGTCAAAACTGAAGTTAAATATGCAAGAAGTGTTTGATGCACATTAAAAAAAGCCTTGGGGAAAAGAAAATGTGTTTACTTCCTATGAATTATTTCTGAAACGAGACAGGCTACTCGCAAATAAGTTGATGATAATAAGGATATTTAACAATCTCAGTCCTTAGCCCAATCCTTAGGAAGAGGGCTGAAATAGGCTGAGCCTTATTCCCAATCCTATTCACTTTAAGATCAGTTAATAAAATATTGTTTAAATTGAATAAATAATCTCTTTCAAAGTCAAAATTTTCCAAATTCGATCTGTGCTCGTACGTCTTACACACAACCCAAATATTTGAATTTCAAAATTTTCGTTGTTGTTGTTTTATTTGTATGCTTTTCAAATAACTACCAAAATTTCCAAAATATGAATAGTACAGGCACATAGCTTTCAAAAACAATATTCCCCTATTTTACAATTTTGAATTGAATTTTCAGTATCAAATCAAGTACCCACTATATATTGTTGATTACTTAAATGAAATTGGCTGATTGATTTTCTAAAACTAAACAATATGAAAAATGTTGCATTTTATGAGAAACTTCAAAAAAAGAAAAGCTGACAGAAGTGAATACTATCGAAACAAATAACAAGCAAAGATATTCCAAGAAAATTCAGTCTCAGAAATAGTCGATTTAATTTTACTAAATCATATCATTTCCAGCTATGGTTGATTTTCCCAGGCATACCCAACAAACTAGACAACAACTCTGTAAACAGCTTATCACAAGATTGTCCTTTGATTATCCTTCATTCTGCTATGCTTTCATAATAATAAAAAAAAGCAAATACATATTTTTATTGAAAATTAAAATACTTTTTGGCAAATTCAACAATAAATACATGTTAAAACTATAGAATATATTAATACCTACTGTTAAGCAATTTATTTTTGCTAGCAAGTTTAGAAATGTGCGTAAACTAAGCATCTGAATACTAGAAAAAATATATTTACTGAAAAAGTTATACTATTTTAAGATAAAAAAATTGTAAATTTTCAGAATATGTAAAGAACTGAAAAATTATGTATATCATATCACAAATATTTTATACACCTCATAACAGAAACTTCGAAGATTATGAATGTATTATGCTGCGTAAATACAACACTTATTTATTACAGAAAAAAGTACATAATAGTATAAAATATTTTAACTAAAGAAGAAGAAAGGGAAGTGTATGTACATGTACAGAGTGGTAATTAATCAACGAATAAGTGAAAGCACAAAAAATGTTTAAGAATTCTGAAATTAGAAATAATAAAAATAAAAAATAAACATAAATTTCCTGATATTATCTTGAAAGTCTGCATTTTGTCTTTACTTGCTGGGTAGGCCTAAGGGGGCATGGGAATGGCAATAATATTATATCATAACATCTAAGCACGGTCCCTGCGTTGTGAGTTTCTTCCATGCAAGCATGCCATAGCATGTATCACTACTGTTTTCGCTTGATTTGTTTGCTCTTTCTTTGGTTTTTGTGATTCCTCTCGTTCTGCTTCATCTCTTCCTTTTCTGTTTTTAAATTTTCTGCTTCTGATTTTGAGGCTTGAGTATTTCCAGCACTATCGACATTAAGTGGACTTACAGATCTATAAAATGATTCATCATAGACAGTGTCAGCAAATATCAACTTTTTTTCTTGAATGTCTCTTGTTAAAATACTAAACATGACGATCATAAATTCATGTTGAAGCTTACTTGGCGGCCGTCAGAGACTTCACCGCGGCAACACCAACACCAACTGTGGCAACTGCCCCTACAGCACCAGCAACACCAGCAGCCGCTGCTTTCCACATGACCACAGAACACGTGGGTTTGTTGTTACGGTATACACATTCTTTAAGGCCTCCGCAGCTCAGCTTATCACAACCAGATTCTGTAAATCCCGCACATATATGCATTCATGAAGTTAGGGAAATTGATAAGTGACGATTTTTTTTTTTTTTAAAGAATTTTCTACTCTTTAGCTCACCTGAGCAGAAGGCTCAAGTGAGCTTTTCTGATCAAAATTTGTCCGTTGTCTGTCGTTGTCGTTGTAGTCGTTGTTGTCGTTGGCGTTGTCGTCGTCGTAAACTTTTCACATTTTCATCTTCTTCTCAAGAACCACCAATTTCAACCAAACTTGCAAATGTAGGGCCACACCCTTTTCCAAGGGGAGATAATTATAAATTTGAGAAAAATTAATGGCATTTTTAGCTCACCTGAGCTGAAAGCTCAAGTGAGCTTTTCTGATCACATTTTGTCCGGCGTCCGTCTGTCCGTCTGTCTGTCCGTCTGTCTAGCTGTCCGTCTGTCTGTAAACTTTTCACATTTTCATCTTCTTCTCAAGAACCACTGGGTCAATTTCAACCAAACTTGCCACAAAGTATCCTTAGGTGTAGGGGATTCAACTTTGTTCAAATGAAGGGCCACGCCCTCTTCCAAGGGGAGAATATTATGAATTAGTGAGAAAATAATGGAATTTTAAAAAAAATCTTCTTCTCAAGAACCACTGGGCCAGGAAAGATGAAACTCATGTGGATTCATCCTCAGGTAGAGTAGATTCAAGTTTGTTCAAATCATGATCCCCGGGGGTAGGGCGGGGCCACAATGGCCGACCCAAGTTTTACATAGAAATATATGGGAAAATTCTTTAAAAATCTTCTTCTTAAGAATAACTAAGCCATGATTGGTCATATTTATATGGAAGCATCCTCAGGTAGTGTGGATTCAAGTTTGTCCAAATCATGACCCCCGGGGGTAGGGCGGGGCCACAATGGCCAACCAAAGTTTTACATAGAAATATATGGGAAAATTCTTTAAAAATCTTCTTCTCAAGAATAACAAAGCCATGGTTGGTCATATTTATATGGAAGCATCCTCAGGTAGTGTAGATTCAAGTTTGTTCAAATCATGACCCCCGGGGGTAGGGCGGGGCCACAATGGCCGACCCAAGTTTTACATAGAAATATATGGGAAAATTCTTTAAAAATCTTCTTCTCAAGAATAACAAAGCCATGATTGGTCAGATTTATATGGAAGCATCCTCAGGTAGTGTGGATTCAATTTTGTTCAAATCATGACCCCCGGGGGGTTGTGAGGGGCCACAATGGCCGACCAAAGTTTTACATAGAAATATATGGGAAAATTCTTTTAAAATCTTCTTCTCAAGAATAACAAAGCCATGATTGGTCAATATTTATATGGAATTATCCTCAGGTATTGTAGATTCAAGTTTGTGCAAATCATACCCTCTCCTCTTTAAGGAATGGTTGGGATTACTTTTGGGTTTAAACTTTCAGTAATAAACTAATTTCTGCTTTTATGCTAGCCACAGTGTTCAGGTGAGCGATGTGGCCCATGGGCCTCTTGTTAAAAAAATCTTCTTCTCAAGAACCACTGGGCCAGGAAAGATGAAACTTATGTGGAATCATCCTCAGGTAGTGTAGATTCAAGTTTGTTCAAATCATGACCCCCAGGGGGTAGGGTGGGGCCAAAATGGCCGATCAAAATTTACCGTAGGAGTATACAGGAAAAATCTTTTCAAATCTTCTTCTCAAGAACCACAGGGCCAGGAAAGATGAAACTCATATGTAATCATCTTCAGGTAGTGTAGATTCCAGCTTGTTTAAATTATGACCCCAAGGGGTAGGATGGGGCCAAAATGGCCGATCAAAGTTTTACATAGGAATATATAGGAAAAATCTTTAAAAAGTAAAAAATCTTCTTCTCAAGAACCACTGGTCCAGAAAAGATGAAACTCATGTGGAAGCATCCTCAGGTAGTGTAGATTCAAGTTTGTTAAGATCATAACCCCCTGGGGTAGGGTGGGGCCACAATGGCCGATCAAAGTTTTACATAGGAATATATAGGAAAAATCTTTTAAAATCTTTTTTTCAAGTACCACTGAGACAGGAAAGATGAAACTTATGTGAAATTATTCTCAGGTAGTGTAGATTCAAGTTTGTTCAAATCATGACCCCTGGGGGTAGGGTGGGGCCAAAATGGCCGATCAAAGTTTTACAGAGGAATATATAGGAAAAATCTTTCAAAAATCTTCTTCTCAAGAACCACTGTGCCAGGAAAGATGAAACTCATGTGAAATTAGCCTTAGGTAGTGTAGATTCAAGTTTGTTCGAATCATGACCCCCGGGGGTAGGGTGGGGCCAAAATGGCCGATCAAAGTTTTACAGAGGAATATATAGGAAAAATTTTTAAAATCTTTTTCTTAAGTACCATTGAGACAGGAAAGATGAAACTTATGTAAAATTATCCTCAGGTAGTGTAGATTCAAGTTTGTTCAAATCATGGCCCTTTAGGATAGGGAGGGAAGCAATGGGGAATCAAATTCAAATTATTACGAAATAATATATAGGAACAAAATGTTTAAAAAAGAAATCTTTTTATCAATAACAGCAAAGTCTTGTATTGATATGAAGGCATTCTCAAATAGTATTAAAATTGAAGCCCCCCCCCCACCTCAGTAAACTTTCAGTTCTGATCTGATAATGTGTTTTTTCTTCGCCGATGTGCTCAGGTGAGCGATGTGGCCCTGGACCTCTTGTTAATATATCCTACCAATATTAGGGCTTAATTATTTTCTAGTCTTTAATGTCCTTCGTGTAAAATATACTCTGATATTAATTCAAAGCATTTTAGAATTGAAAAGAATTTACCACGAGAAATTTTCAAAAATGTAATTAAATGTAAAAACCAGTTTATAATCATTGTCAAGATTGCATTGAGGTGTGAGGGGACAAACAATTTTTTTGATACTCTGTACTAAGAATAATTTATCAATAAAAATGGGGTTGAAAGATGTATTTAATCGTTTAGAATAGGAAAATGACTAAAAGGTTTTTTTTACCTGATAGAATTTTAAGAATTGATTTCTATTGGTTAAGCGTAAATAGGGAAAAATCTTCAAGTACAGGACAAGGTCATAAAAATGCACCTTCCATTCTTACATACTGGTACTAGATAATGCAATATTATATGTCTGAATCACAGGGGCCTGTAACATACTGTATTTGATTTTACGTAATCACTATATGTATACAAAAATATATAGTGATTACGTAAAATCAAAAACAGTATGTTACCGGCCCCTGTGGTCTGAATATACTGAATATATAGCCCATAAAATTCTGCTTTACATGGAAACATTGAATCTGAGGTACTATTATTGCCCGCGCGCCGCAGGGGTTACGTAGACTATAGAGTCACAAATTAAGGGTTTTTATCTGTACGTCGCGGGTTCGAATCCCACTGCGGGACGTGGAGACCGGTCCTTCAGACGAGATAGTGTAAAGCGACGTTTCAGAAGGTACTGGTAAGAAACAATACCTTTCTGCTGAAATGGCCCTAAATGCCGAGTGCAGGTCTATATTTGCAGTCCTACACTGACAAGTAATGGCATGTCAAAATGAGTGAAAAATTTTCAAAAGGACGTTAAACAGACAAAAACAAACAAACAAACGAACGAACAAACAGACTTAAATTGAGGTTATATTATGGATCAGATATCCTAGTCAAATAGAATACATTGTAAGTCCTACTAATTAAAATACTGTTAAAACAAGATGTGCGTGTGAAACACTATTCGCCCGGCGGCAACAAAGTTCGAAAAAGCTTTTTTCAGCATATAGGTAACAGTCAAGGTCACAAGGTCATTGTCCTTGATGTCATTTAAAAGAACTTAATTAGTGAAGTATGCATAGTAAATATAAAGTCTCTATTTCTAATGGTTCAAAACTTATGGCGAAAGTTCGAAAAAGCTATTTTTAGCATATAGGTTACAAGGTCACAAGATCATTGACCTTGTTGTCATTTGAAAGAACGTAATGGTGGAGAATGTATAACAAATATGAGATCTCTATCTCTCACGGTTCAAATGTTATGGCGAAGGTTAAAATTGACAACAGACAGACAGACAAATAGACAGACAGGACAAAAACAATATACGCCCTGGATCTATCGATCTCGGCGCATAAAAATAAAGAATTCACCTTCATACATATATGAACTTCCGAGAGTGACCTGTATCCATGGACTTGTCGAAGTTCCATCGATATTTGTGACTTTGCATCGATAATATCCAAAGTCGACGTTGGTGATGTTGAATATGGATAAAGAAGGAGATGCCATAGATCCTCCTTCGTACCTTTCATCTGAAGATATGTCGATTACTGTATACGACGTATCATTAATACCTTGTTTCTCCCATACTATCGTTGAGTTGATTTCTGTGTCAGAAAGGATCACGGACAAGGTAACATTGTCACCCTGATTTACTGTGTATGACGTGGCGGAAACATTTATTGTTACGAGCTCTGAAATGTAAAAAAAGTTTTTCTTCACTACGCAAAAGGGATATATAAGTTACTGGTTGGTGTAAAAATCATGTTAAACTTTAAAGTATTGCTACGCCTTTTAACGAGGTAACAGACTACAGTTTCCATATGCAATTTTTAACAATATTGTAAGGGAATATTTCAAGTTATTTCGTAAAGTAATATCAAAGGTACAATTGTAATCAGGTATGATACTATTGCTAATGATTACGTGTCTGAACATTGACGTTGAACAAAGGAGAAGTTGACATTCCATCGGTGTTCACAACAGTGCATCTATAATAACCACTGTCTTCCAACGCTGCATAGACGATCTCTAGATAAGGTTTATCGATGGTACCGCCGTTGTATCGATCATTAGCAGTTATATTAATTGCACTAAATGTATAAGGATAGTTGGAACTCCGTCTTTCCCAAGTGACAAACTTTATTTCAGGCCCGGAAGTGTAATTAAGTTGTAGGATGGCATTAGACCTTGTTTTAACCAAAATGGACGTACTTCCAACCGATATCACTGGGAGGCCTGTAAAAGAAATGTTTAATTTTGAATGTATCAACAAGGGATGGTGCATCATAATTGCTTATTTCATTTATCCACAAGAGTTCGCGTACCTTTCGGAATTCAATTTTACCAAAATGTTCAGTGTATATATATATATATATATATATATATATATATATATATATATATATATATATATATATATATATATATATATATATATATATATATATATACACAAATATTTTAATATACATGTACCTTTTATTATAGGCATCACGCATTTTTTTATATATTAAAAAATTCGGTAAAATTGTTAGGTATGCGAAATCCTGTGTATGAATTTTACAAACATTCAGAATTTTTAAAATTAAATATTTAATTGTTTTGCATTTTTTCATCTCTCTCTCTCTCTCTCTCTCTCTCTCTCTCTCTCTCTCTATATATATATACACAATAAAAGTATATCAAATATTGATACAAAATTGTTTAAAGCATAATCAACGTACAGGTTTCAATTCTAATTTGGAACACGGAGCTCAATGTTGTACCATCACGATTGGATATTGCACATCGATATAATCCGTTGTCAGCACTTGTGACGTTGTATATTGTCAGAGGTGGAGAGGATATTGTTCCTCCAGAATACTTCAAAACCGATGTTATATTCAGTGGCTCATAATAACTAGTCGAATTGTTCATTGTATATTCCCAAGAAATCTCTGTTATTGGTAGATATGACGTTACGTTTAAATGAAATGTAATATTGACCCCTTTCCACGTTAAAACTGAAGTCGTTCCTTCCGAAATATTTGGAAGACCTGCAAAGGAATAAAAATTACCTTCAACAAATGTAACATTTAATTTTTTAATTTCCCATATTACGTTAGGGTTAATGTACGAATAGCGCTCTATTTCTTAAAGAGGCTGGGTGGTCGTGGCCATTTTAGACTATTTCTATCTCCTTTAGAAGAAGAGCTCCATATAAAGATATACAAAAATGATTAAATTTTAAAACAAATATGTATAATTTTTTTCTTTGTCAAATGATAGTTGACAGATAAAGATATCATATCTAAAAATTTAAGTTATATCTGGTTGTTAATTTTTTGTTAATTTGTAGACCCCCAGCCTCCTTAAAAGTAATGGAGCCGAGGCCCCGAAGGGACCGAGGCCAATTACTTTTAAGGAACGGATTGCTACCAGTATATTAACCCGCCTTTAAATAGTACGCTTCAACAAACCCGTTCATCTTAATCACACTGACAGACGTCGATAATGTACGAAAGCCGTGAAGGGACACGTCGATTTCTCAAAAAAGTAAAAATTAATTTGAGATCTCGAATTACACAATCCGTTTCCACGGATTATCAATTCGTTCCCTCGATTTATAATTCGAGATCTCGATTTACACATCCGATCCCATAGATAACCCGTTCGTTCCCTCGATTTATAATTCGAGATCACAAAATACACAATCCGTTCCCACAGACTACCAATTCGTTCTCACAGATTATCAATTCGTTCCCTCAAATTACACAATCTGTTATCTCGGATTGTAATTCATTCTCTCGATTTAAACAATTCGTTCCCTCGGAATGAAAATCGATCCCACGATTTAATTATTATTTATCTGCACATATCGGATATCACAACAGGTGTTTAATGAATAGAATATGAAGAAGTTTACATCCTACTTTTTATTACATATTCAGTTAAAAACGAGAAAAATACTTTTTTTTCAAATCCATATGCTAGTACAGATATTAGTTCAAAACAAGTCTTAGACTTCTATGTTACATGTATTTTAGAATCATTGAAAACCCTAGTAAAAGTTAACGCTGGTCCTGTTTAATTTTTTTTTTCTAAAATAAATATACGTTGACTAAATTTAAAAAAAAGTTTGGAACTACCGGTTGTTGAAACGAATTAAACGGAACGCATTAATTGATTATTGATACAATTGATTGGATTTTTCCAGCCTTTATACATGTACTCGGATATATGTATATGTTATGTGGGTATGCAATTCGAGAAAACGATTCTCCAAAATCATTAGACTGATATGTTGATCAGTGGGATTGGATTGTGTTATTCGAGATCTAAAATAACAAATAGAGATGTCGAATTATTAAACTGTGAAAACGAATTATGTAATTCGAGATCTTGAATTACAAATCGTGAGAACAAATTAGTTATTTGTGACGACGAAATATGTAATTCGAGATCACGAATTATAAATCGAGGGAACGAATTGATAATCTGCGGGAACGGATTGTGTAATTCGAGATCTCAAATTAGATTTTACCTATTTGAGAAATCGACGTGTCCCTTCATGGCTTTCGTAATAATGAATATACTTCGTAGCGTACGTAGTGGTTATACAGTCGGTCTTGGTCCAAACCCTGCGCTATGGAGAGAGTTTGAATCATACTTGAAGCTTTTTCTTTTTTGTTTTCACATATCTTTAAAACATGAGTGAAAAATAAATTATTGATAAAATATTGAAACAATGAAATACAGAATTAAATGTGTAAAAGATGATATAAACAATATAATTTTGAAAAATATAACTTTTACAATTGAGAAATGTCTTTTCTCAGAGCAGGGGATTGTCCTCGCCTTGTACGATTCTTTGCAACTCTCCATTCCTAAAAAGTAATGGAGCGCTCAAACAAAAGAATGACTTCACAGGTGGATTTTGCCTATCTTTCGGATTTTCTTCCCTTTGAAGCGATATAATCATACAAGTTATGAATAAAAGTAAAAAAGTTTATTTGTTTGTTGTTTAACCTCCCTCTCCAGAAATTTTCACTCATATGGAGACGCCAACACTTGCCGATGGAGAGATGCAAATTTTGTCCTGCCCATTGAGAAGCGAGGGATCTTTTTTGCGAACATCTTCTGCGACAGAGGACCTCGATTTAAATGGTGTCATCCAAAAAACTGGTTTTCACGTCAAATACATGTAATTATGAAATACATGTTAGTAATCAATGTATTTCATCCTAAAGACAATAGCTGTTTCATTGATTTTTAAGACATTTCTTTTTTACTCTTTTTTAATAAAATGAAAATTACTAACGGGGTAGGACATCAAGGTAAACTGTTGTCGTTGTTGTTCCCTCGTCGTTCGTAGCTCTTACACGATAATAAGTTTCATCAGTCAGATCCACGTGTATAATTGTTAGTGATGGTGAGAGAATTTCTCCACCAGTATAACGATTATCGGACAGTATATCGATAATTTCATAGACGTAAGTGCTGCTGTTTCTTCTTTCCCACGTCACGTTAGTAATAGGCAGAACAGATGTAATGTTTGTTTCAAGAGTGAGGTTTTCACCGGACAGAACACTGTATCTGGAATTGAGCGATATGGATGGTGAACCTGAAAGTATATTTATCAAGGGGTTTCAGTTTTTCATGCGTTAATTTTCATTTTCGGATTAGGACATCTTTCTACCTGGTTCTGGAACATTCTTTTGTCTTTTAATGTTCATTAAACATATTAAATGGAGTTACATTTGCTGTCATTGAAATTTTCAAAATAGAGGGAAAAATTGCAGATTTTTTCACTTTGTTTTAAAAAACTTTATTACTTACTTAACACGACATCAATGTAAACCTCTTTAGTCGTTGTGCCATCATTGTTTGTTACACTAACACGGTAATAAGTCTCATCTGTTGGAGCAATATCTGATATAGAAAGCGAGGGTAACATAATATCGCCCCCAGAGTATCGATGATCGGACGATATATCGATAATTTCGTACATATGTGTGCTGATATTCCTCCTCTCCCAGGTTATATTTGTGATTGCAAGAGATGAATTGACTTCTGTCTCTAGAGTAACATTTGCTCCCGTATAAACATAATACCTCGAGGATAGTAATATCGAAGGTGGAGCTAGAAATCAAACAACCACATATATATTTACATATAATTGAAATCTAAGCAATTGATATTGTACATCGAGTATTAATCAAGCAAATCAAATACTAACAAATGTTTTCTTGACCATTCTCAGATTTTTTTAATGTTAAAGAAAAAATTCTTACATTTTGTAACCCGTATGTAAAAGGGGCTGCTGTAGCTCTCTCCTTCCAAATTTGAAATCTTACATCGATAGAGGGCGGTAACATACTCTAACGATATACTGGTGATAAAAAGTGACGGAGATTCGATGGTTCCCCCATAATATCCTTCATCGTTCAATACATCGATTGGTTCATAAAAGAACATTGGTGGGATACCTTTCTCCCATACGACTGAGGTGACGTTGAGAGCCGATGTGTAGTTGAGTGATAGAGTTACATTTGTTCCTTTCTCGATGTAAAAATTTGTTTGCCCAGTTGTTATTGAAGGAAGCCCTGAAAATGTAAAATAAAATGCTACTTTTGTTAATGTTGTTAATGACATACATGACATGCATAATTTGAAAAACAGATCTTACTAAAAGTATATTAAGAAAACATTCCATCTGATTATGATCGTTGCAGTGAATTGTTGACATGTTGAGGGTAACTAGAAAACCTTGTACGTGTGCAGTTGTTCTAGAGAGAAGGTCTCCTAAAAGATGAACGTTATCATAGCGTATGCATATTCAATTAATTGAATTTTTGGTGAGACGCGTTATTTGATTGGATAAAAAATTAATCTTAATTTTACAATCCGGTTTGCCTACGTCACAATGACTTACATAAAAAATGTATCAATTTGCTTGACGTTACGTTTAAAATATGAACAATTTGAAGGCATCATTTTTCAAGGAGAAATTGGCTTGTTATATATACTTAATGATTTACAATTGAATAATAAGGAGTGAATTAAATAGGAACCCAAGTTATACTGCTGTAACCTGGGTTGGAGCAGTTTACTCCTTTTTGTAATCTGCATTGCGGTTTCTAAAGCGTAAACTGCCCCATCTCAGGTTATAAAGTATAATTTGGGTTGCTATTAAATTCAATCCTAAAAAAGACTGTTAACAGTATTTAAGTTTTAGCGCTACAATGTTAGAAAAAATGTATGAAATTTAAAAAAAACTGTCAATTTCTTTTGGTACACCTCCGATGAAAATTGTCTATAGTTAAATCTGAAGAATTTAAATTTCAAACAAACGAATCTTTGGTCATTGAACAAATTAAGTTGATTGATTGTATGTTGCTTAACGTCCCTCTCGAGAATTTTCCACTCATATGGAGATGCTATCTTTTGACGGGTGAGAGCTACAAATTTTGTCCTATACTCGGTACTGAGGGTTATTGAACAGTGAGGGTTCTTTTTCATGCCAGTATCTACTGCGACACGTGACATCGGTTTATACGGTCTTATCTGAAGGTCCGGTCTTCAAGTCGCACAGTAGAAAAATTAAGTGGAAAGAAATGGTAATGATAGAAGGAGTTTTGATTTTTCTTCATTTACCAGTAATGCAATGAACAGTTAATGTGAATTTTGGCTCTAAAGAAGATGAATCAAGGAATTTACCTTAAAAATATTGAGCAGTGTTTAGTTTTAAAACTATGGAACTAGTGGCTGATTTTCCCAAATTTTAAAAAAGCGTTGCCATTCAAAAGATTTGGCTTTAAGGTTTAAACAAATATTTTTGTCAAAATAAAAATTACTAACGGGGTAGTACATCAAGGTAAACTGTTGTCGTTGTTGTTCCTTCGTCGTTCGTAGCTCTTACACGATAATAAGTTTCATCAGTCAGATCCACGTGTATAATTGTTAGTGATGGTGAGAGAATTTCTCCACCAGTATAACGATTATCGGACAGTATATCGATAATTTCATAGACGTAAGTGCTGCTGTTTCTTCTTTCCCACGTCACGTTAGTAATAGGCAGAACAGATGTAATGTTTGTTTCAAGAGTGAGGTTTTCACCGGACAGAACACTGTATCTGGAATTGAGCGATATGGATGGTGAACCTGAAAGTATATTTATCAAGGGGTTTCAGTTTTTCATGCGTTAATTTTCATTTTCGGATTAGGACATCTTTCTACCTGGTTCTGGAACATTCTTTTGTCTTTTAATGTTCATTAAACATATTAAATGGAGTTACATTTGCTGTCATTGAAATTTTCAAAATAGAGGGAAAAATTGCAGATTTTTTCACTTTGTTTTAAAAAACTTTATTACTTACTTAACACGACATCAATGTAAACCTCTTTAGTCGTTGTGCCATCATTGTTTGTTACACTAACACGGTAATAAGTCTCATCTGTTGGAGCAATATCTGATATAGAAAGCGAGGGTAACATAATATCGCCCCCAGAGTATCGATGATCGGACGATATATCGATAATTTCGTACATATGTGTGCTGATATTCCTCCTCTCCCAGGTTATATTTGTGATTGCAAGAGATGAATTGACTTCTGTCTCTAGAGTAACATTTGCTCCCGTATAAACATAATACCTCGAGGATAGTAATATCGAAGGTGGAGCTAGAAATCAAACAACCACATATATATTTACATATAATTGAAATCTAAGCAATTGATATTGTACATCGAGTATTAATCAAGCAAATCAAATACTAACAAATGTTTTCTTGACCATTCTCAGATTTTTTTAATGTTAAAAAAAAATTCTTACATTTTGTAACCCGTATGTAAAAGGGGCTGCTGTAGCTCTCTCCTTCCAAATTTGAAATCTTACATCGATAGAGGGCGGAAACATATTCTAACGATATACTGGTGATAAAAAGTGACGGAGATTCGATGGTTCCCCCATAATATCCTTCATCGTTCAATACATCGATTGGTTCATAAAAGAACATTGGTGGGATACCTTTCTCCCATACGACTGAGGTGACGTTGAGAGCCGATGTGTAGTTGAGTGATAGAGTTACATTTGTTCCTTTCTCGATGTAAAAATTTGTTTGCCCAGTTGTTATTGAAGGAAGCCCTGAAAATGTAAAATAAAATGCTACTTTTGTTAATGTTGTTAATGACATACATGACATGCATAATTTGAAAAACAGATCTTACTAAAAGTATATTGAGAAAACATTCCATCTGATTATGATCGTTGCAGTGAATTGTTGACATGTTGAGGGTAACTAGAAAACCTTGTACGTGTGCAGTTGTTCTAGAGAGAAGGTCTCCTAAAAGATGAACGTTATCATAGCGTATGCATATTCAATTAATTGAATTTTTGGTGAGACGCGTTATTTGATTGGATAAAAAATTAATCTTAATTTTACAATCCGGTTTGCCTACGTCACAATGACTTACATAAAAAATGTATCAATTTGCTTGACGTTACGTTTAAAATATGAACAATTTGAAGGCATCATTTTTCAAGGAGAAATTGGCTTGTTATATATACTTAATGATTTACAATTGAATAATAAGGAGTGAATTAAATAGGAACCCAAGTTATACTGCTGTAACCTGGGTTGGAGCAGTTTACTCCTTTTTGTAATCTGCATTGCGGTTTCTAAAGCGTAAACTGCCCCATCTCAGGTTATAAAGTATAATTTGGGTTGCTATTAAATTCAATCCTAAAAAAGACTGTTAACAGTATTTAAGTTTTAGCGCTACAATGTTAGAAAAAATGTATGAAATAAAAAAAAAAAACTGTCAATTTCTTTTGGTACATCTCCGATGAAAATTGTCTATAGTTAAATCTGAAGAATTTAAATTTCAAACAAACGAATCTTTGGTCATTGAACAAATTAAGTTGATTGATTGTATGTTGCTTAACGTCCCTCTCGAGAATTTTCCACTCATATGGAGATGCTATCTTTTGCCGGGTGAGAGCTACAAATTTTGTCCTATACTCGGTACTGAGGGTTATTGAACAGTGAGGGTTCTTTTTCATGCCAGTATCTACTGCGACACGTGACATCGGTTTATACGGTCTTATCTGAAGGTCCGGTCTTCAAGTCGCACAGTAGAAAAATTAAGTGGAAAGAAATGGTAATGATAGAAGGAGTTTTGATTTTTCTTCATTTACCAGTAATGCAATGAACAGTTAATGTGAATTTTGGCTCTAAAGAAGATGAATCAAGGAATTTACCTTAAAAATATTGAGCAGTGTTTAGTTTTAAAACTATGGAACTAGTGGCTGATTTTCCCAAATTTTAAAAAAGCGTTGCCATTCAAAAGATTTGGCTTTAAGGTTTAAACAAATATTTTTGTCAAAATAAAAATTACTAACGGGGTAGTACATCAAGGTAAACTGTTGTCGTTGTTGTTCCTTCGTCGTTCGTAGCTCTTACACGATAATAAGTTTCATCAGTCAGATCCACGTGTATAATTGTTAGTGATGGTGAGAGAATTTCTCCACCAGTATAACGATTATCGGACAGTATATCGATAATTTCATAGACGTAAGTGCTGCTGTTTCTTCTTTCCCACGTCACGTTAGTAATAGGCAGAACAGATGTAATGTTTGTTTCAAGAGTGAGGTTTTCACCGGACAGAACACTGTATCTGGAATTGAGCGATATGGATGGTGAACCTGAAAGTATATTTATCAAGGGGTTTCAGTTTTTCATGCGTTAATTTTCATTTTCGGATTAGGACATCTTTCTACCTGGTTCTGGAACATTCTTTTGTCTTTTAATGTTCATTAAACATATTAAATGGAGTTACATTTGCTGTCATTGAAATTTTCAAAATAGAGGGAAAAATTGCAGATTTTTTCACTTTGTTTTAAAAAACTTTATTACTTACTTAACACGACATCAATGTAAACCTCTTTAGTCGTTGTGCCATCATTGTTTGTTACACTAACACGGTAATAAGTCTCATCTGTTGGAGCAATATCTGATATAGAAAGCGAGGGTAACATAATATCGCCCCCAGAGTATCGATGATCGGACGATATATCGATAATTTCGTACATATGTGTGCTGATATTCCTCCTCTCCCAGGTTATATTTGTGATTGCAAGAGATGAATTGACTTCTGTCTCTAGAGTAACATTTGCTCCCGTATAAACATAATACCTCGAGGATAGTAATATCGAAGGTGGAGCTAGAAATCAAACAACCACATATATATTTACATATAATTGAAATCTAAGCAATTGATATTGTACATCGAGTATTAATCAAGCAAATCAAATACTAACAAATGTTTTCTTGACCATTCTCAGATTTTTTTAATGTCAAAGAAAAAATTCTTACATTTTGTAACCCGTATGTAAAAGGGGCTGCTGTAGCTCTCTCCTTCCAAATTTGAAATCTTACATCGATAGAGGGCGGAAACATACTCTAACGATATACTGGTGATAAAAAGTGACGGAGATTCGATGGTTCCCCCATAATATCCTTCATCGTTCAATACATCGATTGGTTCATAAAAGAACATTGGTGGGATACCTTTCTCCCATACGACTGAGGTGACGTTGAGAGCCGATGTGTAGTTGAGTGATAGAGTTACATTTGTTCCTTTCTCGATGTAAAAATTTGTTTGCCCAGTTGTTATTGAAGGAAGCCCTGAAAATGTAAAATAAAATGCTACTTTTGTTAATGTTGTTAATGACATACATGACATGCATAATTTGAAAAACAGATCTTACTAAAAGTATATTAAGAAAACATTCCATCTGATTATGATCGTTGCAGTGAATTGTTGACATGTTGAGGGTAACTAGAAAACCTTGTACGTGTGCAGTTGTTCTAGAGAGAAGGTCTCCTAAAAGATGAACGTTATCATAGCGTATGCATATTCAATTAATTGAATTTTTGGTGAGACGCGTTATTTGATTGGATAAAAAATTAATCTTAATTTTACAATCCGGTTTGCCTACGTCACAATGACTTACATAAAAAATGTATCAATTTGCTTGACGTTACGTTTAAAATATGAACAATTTGAAGGCATCATTTTTCAAGGAGAAATTGGCTTGTTATATATACTTAATGATTTACAATTGAATAATAAGGAGTGAATTAAATAGGAACCCAAGTTATACTGCTGTAACCTGGGTTGGAGCAGTTTACTCCTTTTTGTAATCTGCATTGCGGTTTCTAAAGCGTAAACTGCCCCATCTCAGGTTATAAAGTATAATTTGGGTTGCTATTAAATTCAATCCTAAAAAAGACTGTTAACAGTATTTAAGTTTTAGCGCTACAATGTTAGAAAAAATGTATGAAATAAAAAAAAAAAACTGTCAATTTCTTTTGGTATATCTCCGATGAAAATTGTCTATAGTTAAATCTGAAGAATTTAAATTTCAAACAAACGAATCTTTGGTCATTGAACAAATTAAGTTGATTGATTGTATGTTGCTTAACGTCCCTCTCGAGAATTTTCCACTCATATGGAGATGCTATCTTTTGCCGGGTGAGAGCTACAAATTTTGTCCTATACTCGGTACTGAGGGTTATTGAACAGTGAGGGTTCTTTTTCATGCCAGTATCTACTGCGACACGTGACATCGGTTTATACGGTCTTATCTGAAGGTCCGGTCTTCAAGTCGCACAGTAGAAAAATTAAGTGGAAAGAAATGGTAATGATAGAAGGAGTTTTGATTTTTCTTCATTTACCAGTAATGCAATGAACAGTTAATGTGAATTTTGGCTCTAAAGAAGATGAATCAAGGAATTTACCTTAAAAATATTGAGCAGTGTTTAGTTTTAAAACTATGGAACTAGTGGCTGATTTTCCCAAATTTTAAAAAAGCGTTGCCATTCAAAAGATTTGGCTTTAAGGTTTAAACAAATATTTTTGTCAAAATAAAAATTACTAACGGGGTAGTACATCAAGGTAAACTGTTGTCGTTGTTGTTCCTTCGTCGTTCGTAGCTCTTACACGATAATAAGTTTCATCAGTCAGATCCACGTGTATAATTGTTAGTGATGGTGAGAGAATTTCTCCACCAGTATAACGATTATCGGACAGTATATCGATAATTTCATAGACGTAAGTGCTGCTGTTTCTTCTTTCCCACGTCACGTTAGTAATAGGCAGAACAGATGTATTTTTCAAATGAAGGGCCATGTCCTCATTCAAGGGGAGATAATTGGGAATTAATGAAAATTTGGTGGCATGTTTTAAAAATCTTCTTCTCAGGAACCACTATGCCAGGAAAGATGAAACTTATGGGTTAACATCCTCAGGTAGTGAATATTCAAATGTTTCAAATCATGACCCCCGGGGGTAGGGCAGGGCCAAAATGGCCGACTAAAGTTTTATATAGAAATATATTGGAAAATTCTTTAAAAATCTTCTTCTCAAGAACCACTGTGCCAGGAAAGATGAAACTTATGGAGTAACATCCTCAGATAGTGTAGATTCAAGTTTGTTCAAATCATGACCCCCGGGGGTAGGGCAGGGCCAAAATGGCTTATCAAAGTTTTACATAGAAATATATAGGAAAATTCTTTAAAAATCTTCTTCTCAAGAATGACAAAGCCATAATTCATCAAATTTATATGGAAGCATCCTCAGGTAGTGAAGATTCAAGTTTGTTCAAATCATGACCCTGGGGGTAGGGCGGGGCCAAACCCTAAGGCCGACCAAAGTTTTACATAGAAATTTATGGGAAAATTCTTTAAAAATCGATATCTTCTTCTCAAGAATGACAAATCCATAATTCATCATATTTATATGGAAGCATCTTCAGGTAGTGTAGATTCAAAAATTTGTACAAATCATGACCCCAGGGGGTAGGGCGGGGCCAAAATGGCCGACCAAAGTTTTACATAGAAATATATGGAAAATTTTTTGAAGAAAAGCAAATCCATGATTGATCATGGGATTACTTTTGGATTTTAACTTTTCAATTATAAACCAATTTCTACTTTTTCTTAGCTTCAGTACTCAGGTGAGCGATGTGGCCCATGGGCCTCTTGTTTAATGTACCATTAGTAATACACATCTTGCGTGACATTCATGTCCTATAGACATATTTTAGTTTTTCAAATCATCACCTCAGGCTAGGGTCAGGCCACAATTAGGGATCAAAGTTTTATTTAGGAATAAAAGGAAACACATCTTTAAAGTTCTTCTTTTCAGGAACACCAAGAGCATGATTAATATGGAAATATTCTCAAGAGGTGTAGATTCAAGTTTGTGCAAATCATGACCACCAGGGTTAGGGAGGTGCCATATCATTCCAGCCCCTTTTTGCCATCCATATGAAAATTCAAATTTTGAAACCATTTTACACATACACAAAACAAACTAATCATTTTCTAAATGATCATGGTTTAAAGCTATTGCAGCATAAGATATTAGGGAAGTTCTTGAAAGCAGGGTGATTAAACATGTCAAATATATGTAAAAAAAAAATATATAAAAATTCTACCTCGATTTGATCCCCATCCCCCCACCCCCCGGGCAAAATGAAAATTCCGAAAACCTTACTGCACATCTACATGACACCACCAACCATCTCTTAAAATATGATAAGGCTGCTGAGTGAAATGTAGAAGGAGTTCAGGGAAGAAGGGGCTTTTTGTATAAAAAAAACATCATTTTTCGACCCCCATTTGATCCCCCGGGGCAAAATCAAAATTCCGAAACCTTACTGCACATCTACATGACACCACCAACCATCTCTCAAAAGATGATTAGGCTGCTGAGTAAAATATAGAAGGAGTTCAGAGAAGAAGGGGCTTTTTGTATAAAAAACGTCATTTTTCGACCCCCATTTGATCCCCTGGGGCAAAATCAAAATTCCGAAACCTTACTGCACAACTACATGACACCACCAACCATCTCTCAAAAGATGATTAGGCTGCTGAGTAAAATGTAGAAGGAGTTCAGGGAAGAAGGGGCTTTTTGTATAAAAAACATCATTTTTCGACCCCCATTTGATCCCCTGGGGCAAAATCAAAATTCCGAAACCTTACTGCACATCTACATGACACCACCAACCATCTCTCAAAAGATGATTAGGCTGCTGAGTAAAATGTAGAAGGAGTTCAGGGAAGAAGGGGTTTTTTGTATAAAAAACGTCATTTTTCGACCCCCATTTGATCCCCCGGGGCAAAATCAAAATTTCGAAACCTTACTGCACATCTACATGACATCACCAACCATCTCTCAAAAGATGATTAGGCTGCTGAGTAAAATGTAGAAGGAGTTCAGGGAAGAAGGGGCTTTTTGTATAAAAAACAACATTTTTCGACCCCCATTTGATCCCCTGGGGCAAAATCAAAATTCCGAAACCTTACTGCACATCTACATGACACCACCAACCATCTCTCAAAAGATGATTAGGCTGCTGAGTAAAATGTAGAAGGAGTTCAGGGAAGAAGGGGCTTTTTGTATAAAAAACGTCATTTTTCGACCCCCATTTGATCCCCCGGGGCAAAATCAAAATTCCGAAACCTTACTGCACATCTACATGACACCACCAACCATCTCTCAAAAGATGATTAGGCTGCTGAGTAAAATGTAGAAGGAGTTCAGGGAAGAAGGGGCTTTTTGTATAAAAAACGTCATTTTTCGACCCCCATTTGATACCCTGGGGCAAAATCAAAATTCCGAAACCTTACTGCACATCTACATGACACCCCCAACCATCTCCCAAAGGATGATTAAGCTACTGTGAAAAATGTAGGAGAAGTTCAGGGAAGAAGGGGCTTTTTGTATAAAAAACGTCATTTTTAGACCCCCATTTGATCCCCCGGGGCAAAATCAAAATTCCGAAACCTTACTGCACATCTACATGACACCCCCAACCATCTCCCAAAGTATGATTAAGCTACTGTGAAAAATGTAGGAGAAGTTCAGGGAAGAAGGGGCTTTTTGTATAAAAAACGTCATTTTTCGACCCCCATTTGATCCCCCGGGGCAAAATCAAAATTCCGAAACCTTACTGCACATCTACATGACACCCCCAACCATCTCCCAAAGGATGATTAAGCTACTGTCAAAAATGTAGGAGGAGTTCTGGGAAGAAAAGTGTGACAGACGGACGGACGGACGGACGGACGGACGGACGGACGGACATGAGTAACAACAATATACCCGAACTTTCTTTCGAAAGTGCGGGTATAATCAAATGACAAATTGAATCAGTAATTGCTATATATATGTAGAAGCTAGAATTTTTCGTAATAAGGACTTTAAAGCAATAGCTGTTATCTGAATTTTTACAATGGTCCATTTTCATTTATGTACAATCATTGTTCAGTAATGACTTGTCATTAAGGCTGATTTCTGACTAATGAATCTAAGCATTAATGAGTGGAAACAAAAACCATTCATTTTCTTTCTTGACGAGTGTGCGTGTATATTGACAATTTATTTTTTATAAAATAGTAATACTCCAATAAAATGACAAATGTTGATTTGGACAAATACTGACCTTAAAAGTTTGTGCTGTTAGACCTTGACAGCTTTTCTGGTCATACATTTTCCTTCGTCCCTCCGTCTGTATTTATTTACATAGACTATAGTCTTAACTCTACAACTTTCTGAATTGTTATGCAACATACAGTTAATGTCACGTCATAGAATCATAGAAATATGACGTTACCGTTTTCCCGCAAGCCTAGTACAAGTTTCTCTGAAGTTTAGCGTAAATAATATCATATAATATTTTGATGACAAAATAAATTTTCTTATTTTATGAGATTTAAGGAAGTATAAAAAAGAAAAATTTGGCAATAAACTGAAGATTAAATCATCTTTTTAAATTGCGTGAAAATGCATGATTGCGGGGAAACGGTATATGCGTGATTTTGCGTTAGAAATAGGAAATGGTGCAGGGGCGTAGCTTCCATTGTGGCAATGAGGCAACTGCCTCACTAGATTTTTCAGCAACATCCCTTTCTCGTAATTTAATACATCACATAAAATGATTTAGTTTTATTTGTTTTATTTTTTTAAAACGTAACTGTTTTTATTTATAATTTAAACAAATCAAGAAATATTGTACTTTCATATCAGTATGTTCAGGGTCAAAATTCATGAGATCGGGTTCTAGTTCTAAAACACAGGCACTTGTTTCTGTAATAAAAATTTTAAAGTATAATAAATTATTATACTATGGGTCAAAACCTTATAAAATTATATTACAAAAACAAGTGCCTCTGTTATAAAACGTAAAAGTAATTTTTGTGGTAAAACATTAAAATAAACATGGGCAAAAAGGGGGACAGACGAAGTTGACATCCTTTCTAAGGAAAGGAAAAAATGAAAGTCTAGAAATTATAATGGACGTCATATATTTCACAAACCCTGTAAACTAGTGAATAATTCTATTACTAGTATCTTTCCAAATGATGCAAAAATTCAATATTTAGATATTTTTAAAAATGTGTTAGAAGTTCGAAAAAAAGCATTTTTTAAAACTTAAAATACTTTTAAATTCAGTAAGTACATGCAGTGTCATATGAACTGATGAATGCTAAAGTCATAAAACGGGGGGGGGGGGGGGCGAAATTTCTGCCCAGGAAAGTATTATTTTTACATTCTAAAACCCAAAATTTCATTTTCCGTCGGGGGGCTTTGCCCCCCTGAACCCCCCACCAGGGCTCCACCCGTGACCTGCTGGGGGCCTTAGGCAGCCCCCAGACCCCCAGCCACAATAGTTTTGCCTCACTAGAAATTTTAAAGTACAGGTCTCTGTAAGAATCAGACAATAGGTGAATCATGAAGGTTCTCAGAATTCGATGATTTTACACACATAGGTTTCTCTTACCCTATGAACCACGTATGTAAAATGAAAATTATTTTGGGTCCTGGTTACTATGGAAACATGGCCACAGAAATTTTCCCTAGCAACCGGTCAATTTTCCATGTTTATGGACAAATATATCACTAAATTTAGAGGCTTGAAATTGAATGTGAATATTACCAGAGGGGTTCTTAAATAATGTTATCATAGAGATAAACATTTCAAGTGATAAAACCATGTAATACATACAATTTTAATTTTAAGATATTTCTTTTACGGGCAATGGAAGATATGCATGTTTTCATTGTTTTGCATTTTTTGCTGATTCAGCATTTTTGTTAATTTGGGCATTTTTCAAGGCCATATA